TTCATCCAATCACCTACCAATTATTGTATTGCCCCTTTTCAGTTTCAACAACAACAATGACTTCTTAGATGGTTCTGTGTAACAAACCATCTGACACTGTCAGGTTAACCTAGGTCTACACAATTGTGTCCTCGATATGTAACCCTATTGGAGAAATGAGTTCATTCACACAAATTCGTTTCACTGTTTCTGATTTGGAGTCCAAGCATTTTTGTTTTACAAGAGTAAGTAACCCCCCACAAAAGACAAACAATGTCTTTCATGCTGTGGAATTTTATTGAATACATTTGTTTTTGCCCTTAGAATATTAAAATAGCATACCAACGACTAAGAAAACAAAGGGCTGCCTTCCCCTTAGTTTGAATTCATCATTAGAAACCCACAAAGTGTACCTCCAGGGTTAGAAAAACACATTGCCAATTAACTGAATGACACAGGAATCAGTGACTTTTGACCTTGCTCTCTATTAAGGATGCATTTCCCTTTTAGCCGTCGGTGGGATTGGATGTTTGTGAGTAATAGCATCAGCTGTGAGAAACTTGTCAGAGCTCATCAGCTCTGGACCCTTGGTACATCTACATCACTTCCACCATGTTGTGTGTGTGTATTGTAGGAGATATGCTATTACATGAATGTAGTTCACACACTATCACCGGCCTAGATGTGCTCGGGGGTAAAGTAAGGCACTCAGTCTGATGGCATTTTGCTAACACGATACAATGGAGGCAGGAGGAGGTGACAACTTGCTGGATTCAAATCCAATTTCGATGGCTCTGTTTTTTGAAAATGTTGATGTATAGAATTTAAATGTTAAACTTTCTAGTAGTTTTAGTACTATGTGTAGCACTCTATATTTCTCAGTTTGGTAAAATTGTTGTATATACTGTATACTTACATATTTGATTTATGGCAGGATGTTTAATGCACAGTGTTCTATAGAGTTCAGAATAAATGTAAAAACCTTTCATCCTGGTGTGGTAACGTGGAGTGGTTAAATGTTAGACGTAATGAGGAGATGAAGGCTGGAATGGGAGACATCTGTCAAATGACTTAACCTACAGTATATTTAACGTGGAGCTCTACTCGGCTGTGCTGCTTTGTAAATGATTCCCTGACCCATGATTAATACTACACTAAAGTCCAGGACCTTACATTCCCAGCAACAACAGCCGGTTCTCTGAAAACCGCTACTGCAGCACCCTATAATTATCAAAACATAACATGTACCCGACAATTTGGCCTTTCCATCCATATACTGTGAACCAATTAGGGATGCTGGAGATGTCATCTGGATGGGGCTGCCATATTTTCTCCATCAGTCAGTGCTCAAAGAACCAGCGCAGTTATAAACGACCTCAAGTTGCGATCGATTCCCAGACTGCATGTTGAAATTTATAGTCAGTTGCCAGTTACAGGAGATGGATGGTTGCAAATGTGAAGGCGCTGCAAAGGCTGCAGTGAATCTTTCAAGACTTCCTCTTGTAGATACAACAATATGGCTTGGGGGAAAATAGGGCAGGACTGTATCACTTCCTTTTCTGGATCATGTCTACTTTGTCCTGCAGCACAAGTGATGTAGTTTCAGACTGAATGTGTTTTTTTTCTTTTTGTTTGTGGGAGTACTTTAACATTTTCAATTTAGTTCACCAGACATATGTCACACTTGTGGAAAGAAAAGCTTATATCTGTGCTTTATTGTTCTTAAAATGGCTAGTTGGCTTTATTAGCATTCTGCATAGAGGTACAGCTAACTATCCATGTGTAGCAAGGTGTGACCCATGCTTTTATTGGGGGCATGTTAGCAGAACTTGCAAACCACTTTAGGGAAACCACTTGGAGAATAGGCACAAAAATGTCACAATATCCCTTGATTATTAGGTGTGTTGAAATTAAAATGTCAGTTTTCCTTTAAAGGTAAGTTGAGATTCATATATTTAAAGGTGGTGCATATGCACTTAGCAACAGTGTAGTCCAGTGCAGTTGCAGTCATGAGAAATGTCAGAGATAGGTGGAAACTGAAAGGCCACAGTTGTTGTTGCCATTGGCTGAAGTGTTGGTGGTTAAGGTATGAGACAGGGCCAGAGGGTTTTTAAGGCCTTGGGAACAGACAAGTGTGACAGTTTATTCGCAATACTCAAAACAAGCAGAAAGAAAGCAAGTGTGCAAACATTAACCAAGCTTTAATCTAAACGGAGATTCAAACTTACATCCATTTATCAGTTCTCTATCAGAAATCACTGAAGACAGCTTTATGTAATGTAATTCCACTGTAGACAGTGTAGACTGAATGAATGGATGATTTGAAAGAGTAGTTCAACCTTTTGGTGAATACACTTACTCAGTTTTTTTGATGAAAGTTAGAGAAGATCAATTACACTCCTGTCTGTATGGTGAATATGCTGTTACAACCACCAGCCAGTTAGCTTAGCTGACACACTACAAAACAAAATGGTTTTTACAAGGAATTAATTATCAGACTATTTTTTTGGCCTTAAACAGTTCCTTCCTGTGTGTAGGTGTAATAAGTTGTTAATTAGTGGGCTGTAGATGCAAATTGTTACCTTTGGACAGAGCAAGGCTAGCCATTCCCCTTGTTTTAGGCTAACTGCTGGCTGTTTTTTTTTTTTTTTTTGCTTCATCCCCAAATGGCAAAACATTTCTTTAAATGAATTAACTAAATTATTAACTAATTATAAATGAGGATCATTATGATCACCCTATATTGTGTGATATAACAAACTGAGGGGGCAGAACATACCATTACTTGCTTCATTACATTCTTGTCTTTTTAGACATTTTAGTGCAGAAATGTTACAAATCATATCTTTGAATGAATTTGTATGAGCAGTAAGGGAACCAGAAAAGAAAAATAAACAATGCAACCTCCACACTTTCCATTGGCAGAACAATTTCAGGGACAAATCTTTGCTTGAGTTTTGATTTATTATTTTCTCAAATTATATGTTTAGAAGTGTAGGAGGCTCTGTCTTTTCAGCTATTCAGAAATGCTGAGGAAAGGTCAAACCTGTAATTTATTGGAGGTTAGACCTTCGATTTCATTGAACAAGTCTTTGTAGGAGGAGATTTTTGAGCTGAGTGTATTGTGCGTGTTGTAGAAATGATTCATATGTAGAGGCAGAAAGAGACTGTCAGCCTTTGGTCAGAGCCAGTGCCGAACTACAAATGCAGTCTACAGTCCGTGAGATTCTGTCCTTTTTGTTATTTCGTAACATCTGTGGTGCTTAGCAACCACTGGTGTAGTGTCTACACTACCTTGAAATGCACTTCACAGAGAATTTCTATTCACACAGCTTCATTGTCTGTTCAGCCCACAGTGGCTGGTACCATTCATCTCATGTTTTTTATCTTTTTAGCAAAACTTCTAAGTTGATTGCTGGTTAAGAGTTTGTTTTTCCTCAGAGACAAAATTAATTAGAATTTAGTTTCTTGCATTATAGAGACACTTAAATTGCACCATGATGCTGCTGTCAAACCTCACTGAGGCTGCTTTGGTTTCACAGGAAAGAAGGCAATGATCAGAGGCGCATGTGGGTGAAGGGTGTAAGCGTCAAGTGCTGGGTTGTAGTTGCACACATTCCAACATACACACTCACATACACAAACACACTAAGAGCCAGACCAACTGCCCTTGCTGGGTCACATCTTGTGCCAGTGCAGTGAGGTTTCCTCTGCAAAGAAACACTGCACTGACTAAGGAAGGCAGTCTGTTTCATATCATAAAAACCACACTGGGAGCCGGCGGGTTTATGCAGTAGCATCTGGCGTCACCGCAGATGACTGCCAGGCACACATTAGATCAGAATAATTGGCCAGGACAGCAGCGTGAGATGGACAAATGAGAACCTCCTCCTGGGTGACCTGATGGCCGATGGGGAGAATGAACAACATTGCTCAGTGTCTGATAAGGAGTTTGTGAAATAAAGAATAAATAGATAAGGGACAAGTGCTTAGCATTTAGTTTTTAAGGTAATGTTTGTTTGTTGTATTATTATACAAAAACAAAATAGGGTGACTCACAAGTAATTCTATCTATCTTCTATGCAGATGATAAGTTAAAAGTCACAAAAAACCTAGTGGATCTACCTCTGTATAGTAGATAATCGTTATATATGCCCTTCTCAAATAAAACATTTAATGGCTCAGAACTGAAGAATAGAATTGAAAATGAATAAATAAACAAATTACAGTTGCTAGGTCCTTCTAGCTCCTCATTTGCTTTTTACAGTTCGGTAACACATCAAACATTATTCAAATGATGGTCCTTTAGAAGTTTAAAAAAGGTTGTTAATATATTTTTTTTAAATTTTGTTTCCACTTCTAATGAACTAAAACTATTTTTTTGGTATGTTTTAATTTAACCCCAAAGTATTTGGTGTGGATTTTCTATAAAGTACTTGTAAAGTGTATTTAAAGGAATTCTATTAAGATAAAAATTACCTGTTATTAGTGCTGTCAGTTAAACGCGTTATTAACAGCGTTAACGCAAACCCATTTTAACGGTGTCTCTTTATCGCAAGATTAACGTTCTTTTTGGCCTAGCACACTTTGTAGTTTTTCTCACATGCTGTTGCAACAACTAGTAACATTAGAAAAAACTACAACACCACACCAGATCTAGCTAGACCGGAAACAAAACAACAGGCACGCTGCACACACTTGTTTAAGAGTAGTAGACGTTACGTTTTGAGTGGATGGCGAGCGCGAGACGCCGAAATGGATGCCAATAATATTCTGAATGGAAAGTTTACTTTTAAAAAGTAATGCGATTAATCGCGATTAAATATTTTAATCGTTTGACAGCACTACTTGTTATTATGAAACTCCCTGTCTTGTGTTCAAAGAAAACCAGATTAATAATTTAAGGCAACATACCACATGCAAAAGACTCCTCCCTCACTGCTTGTTCATGTCCAACATTGGATATATTTGCTTTAGGACTTAGTTTCACTGCTAACCAATGCCAAGTACTGTACCTCCACTTAAAAATGGAAGAATTTATTTTTGATGAAATACACAAACAATTATTGCAAAAGTAGAGATAAATAACTTTGGCATACAGGAAATGAAAAACATCCATGACACAATGGCAATGTAAAATGACTAACAATGACAATTGGCAGCTAATCCTACTGTACACTAACATATGAAGCAAACAAGACATTTTGGACCTAAATTTCCCTTTCATTAAACAAATAAATATTTAATATCTCACAATCTCAAATGTAGCAAGATTTGCTTGACGGTAGGCATTCCTGAAGCAAGCAGATTTGACATTGCTGAGATGGGATAAATGAAGAGTTGTAATGAACAATACCCAACTGATTCTACATGTGCAACTTTTATCCCCTCCTTGAGAATCTTTGGTAGAAAAGGCATGATGGTACAGAAAAAAATTTAAATGTCATATTTACACATGATACAGTCTTATTAGCAAGGCATTCAGCTGCGGCTGTGTTTCACCACAGATTAAACCTGTGTAAAAACAATAGGGTAGGAAAGAAAAACTGCTCATGAAAAAACAACTTTCTTTGCTTTGATGGTAATAATAGAGGGGCAGAGGGAGTAAGGCAGCTGAAGCCAACTCACTTATAGACATAAAAAGTACTTGAACAAAGAAGCTCCCATTTTCCATGAGAGTATCAGCCCACACTGGCTGAACTTTAACAAAGACCTCAAGAAGAAGAGGCAAAAATACCTCAATGTTCTTATCTCTGAGGAGCAGAAGAATATAGTCTTCAGAGCGCATAGGTTATAGTCCAGATCTGCTCCAGTGTCTTTTTGTCTCTCTAAAATGCACTTAGAGCACACTATTGGTATTCCACAACGGTCAAATCCATTCCGGAGATTTATTAAATTCCAGTCTGTTCTGCTTAATCCAATTAACGAAAGGACAACAGGATAAAGGGAGAATCTTGTTAGATTCCAGTGGAAGTGGATGAGATACAAAACATTTCAAACATCCTGCATGACTCCAGTGGCAGCTATTACACATGTCCAAGGTCAGTCCCAGTCATCTTTACACTCGCAAGCACACTCCTCATGGTGCTCTAAGGGCACATCAGTCATGGATTTCTGCAGACCTCTGCCACCGCTTCGGTGCTTCAACAGTAGAACCTGTCAAAAAGTGGGACATTTTAGTTAATAGCTGGACATCAAACACTAGATGTAAACAAGCAACTTATGTTTAAAGGTTGTAAAGGTCCAGTGTGTAACATGTAGGAAATGGAATATAATATGCATAGACATGTTTTCAAAAGCGTACAATCAACTGAATATTGTTATGTTCTCGCTACCTTAGAGTGATCCACTTATTTTCTACAGATGCCGCAGGACGCACTCCATGGAGGTCACTATGTTGAATCATTATATTTCTACAGTAGCCCAGAAGGGACAAACCAAACACTACCTCTAGACAGGGGTGTTTGCATTTTTCACACATTTTGCAGCCACCATAATTTCTCCTTCGTGCTTGTAGAAGCAACTACACCACTAGATGCCACTAAATCCTACTTAACAGACCTGTAAAAGGCCAAAAATTATATTTTTGACCCAAAGATTATTTTGTCTTAAACGTTTCAATAATATTAGTGACTTAATCTCATTAGATGCTTACATTTCTGGACTTCAAATCTACATTTCCAAGCCATACCGACTGTCATTACATTGCTGTAACTTTTGTGCAATTAGAAATACTGGTTAAAGGGTGGAACTAGGAAAGACCACAAGGTCATAGGACACGCATAGCAAATTCTGTATTTTTTTCATGAAGTCATCCTGTCTATAAAGTTAATAGTAAGGTTGGTGGAAGGTTAAATATTGAACCATATAGAGGGACCAAACAACATTGCTCATCCTGTGCTGCCAGTGGGAAAAAAGTTCCTAGATTGATCCTGAATATCTTTTTTCATGCATATTCTGCTATTGGTGTTCTGATTTCCTATGCTTTCTCAGAGCTGAGAAGAGGCTATTGCTGGTCATGCTACATTGATTACCATATCCTTAATTCCAAACATACTGCTGTTAATGCTACTGGACAAATGCTTTTCTCATTTTGGTGAAAGACCAATCCAAAGCTGGATTTTTAAAATCCAGTGTAAATGTAAAAACCTTAAAATGAAAAAATTGTTTCAGCTCTTATGTTAGTTGGAAATAATATAGTGTAATAAAATCAATAATTTCATAACTTCAGAGTCTGTAGGTAAATGTCTCAAAATGATTCACGTAATACACGTTCTATGTTCCTTGTTTTTCATGATCAAGTTGATGTTTACCTCATGATATTTCTTTGTGACCCTGGTGGGAATGCATTGGCAGTCATAGCAGCGGTGAGAGCAGCAGGCACAGTTTCCACCACAGCGTTTCACCAAGAGGCAGCTTGGCCAGAAAATGGCATCTGTCTTCTTTAGCTCCTCCCGCAAGGATACGGAGAAGTTGCGTGGAGTGCAGCTGTACAGCCGAACTTCCTCCCTCAACATATTAAGATCAGTTCCTCCTGAAAGACACAGAGAAGACATGATCACAATCACTTCCTGTCAAAACAAACCTTGCAATTCTCACATCTGACAAATAGTATTTAATGGCTACTGTAATACCACAATTTAAAACTATCCTTTATCAATATTTTGTATTTAATTTAATTGTAACGTACAAGTTTAAAAGTGTCCTACCTCTGGCTTTCTTATTATGGATGAAGGATTTCCCCAGCACATGCCACGTAGGTTTGTACAACTCTTCCATATCCACCTGCCATCGCTCCGGCTCCAGGTACTTCATGACCTCCTCCATGGTGTTCAACCCTGCCACAGCCTCTGACAACTCCTCAATACCCTGCAGGGTTGGAGGGAGAACAGCAGGGACCTCTGGTTCTGATACACTCTGCAGAAAAAACAGACGAGATAGAGAGTGATGGAAAAGAAAGGTCATTTATTCAGTATATACAGTATTTATGTACGAAATTACAACAACAACATCTTAGATGTTACGGTCCTGCTTTCTCGACTTTTAATGCCACTGAAAAAGTATTTTTCTCTTTTATGTGGCAAGCATACAATGCTTGTGTGATAGAAATATACTGTAGCTTCCACACCCAAAAACGTATCATTGCACCAACTGCCTTACAGACCGGCCACTTTCCGTGACATTTAAGAGCTTTTACTGTGAGCCTGCTCTAGGTTATGAATACTAAAACAGGAAAGTTACACAGAAGGAACAATTTTGTCAGCAGTGACAAGATGTGTTTTATTTCTACAATGTGAAACACTGTTAATGTATAAAAGGAAGGAGTTTGACAGCACATCAGTACATTTTATGTGATGGTAAGAAATTGGGTTTAAATTGGGTTCAGGCTCATTAAATGCTACAGTGGTTTGGACTTGAGTTGAGTTAAACAGAAACCATGGCGGTCCAGGCCAGCTAGGGCCCAATTTAAACCCTATGTGTTAGACCTGGTAATGTGTGGAAGAGTTGAGACTAGAGCTGCTGAAGATTACGGACAGATCTTGCTAAGCATTCCCACGCTGGCCAATACACTGGATAAACACACTGATTCTGAGAATTGATAGGGAAGTAGAAAACCTACTCCATAGAAACATTTATATGTGTATTTCCACTTAAATCTGTATTGGCATGATATTTTTCATTATTCATACATCATGTATTTGCTGCTGCTTTCCAGTTTTCTTCCATTTGTGCTTCCTGTTGTCTCAAGATATTTGTCCATTTCCCCATTAAGAGGACTTCTTCAACAATTATTGGTTGATAGACATTGTTTTTTTTTTTGTCAATGGCAACATCTTCCTCCAATTCCTTGTAAAAATGTTTTGCTATTAAAAGTATTTAACCAAATGTCTGTTGCTCCCATTAAGATAAGATAAATTATAGATATAAAGTACTATACAATGCATAGGGACCTTATTGTGACAAGATATGTATACATCTATGTAACTGTATTCTTTTCACATTGGGGTAATTAGGAAATTTTTTTAAAATTTTTGTTTTACAGAATTCCCTCCATGTTTTTAAATTAGTGAATATGTATCTTCTACATATTTGACAATTATGATCTAAAATTTCACCATTAAGCTCTTTTTTATGATTCTCTTTCATATATTTAGCGCATCCTTAATGTTCAATATTTGATATGAGACAAATTAATATTTTAATAAAAAATTCCACAGAGCTGCTCAGTTTTCAATTGCACAACACGGTCACTGTGGGTATGTTGAGAATATACCTGCCTAAGATACAGTCTGTTAACCTCCATTCAAAGATGCAACTTTGCCAATATAATCTCTGGTTTAGAAATAAAAGCATCATCATGCATTTATACTCCAGTGAGGTACATAATAATGTACACTGCATCTGAAATTGTTCCATGCACTGAAGTTGAGAGGCAAATGTGAATAAATGGCATCATTTTTTAAGTTGTCAAATGTGATCACATCTCTGTCACCTTCTCTGCTCACTTTGCATAACAACATTTGTCCCTTTAGCTCCCATAGGCAGCAGTATTATTTCTTCCAAGCTCCCAACCCTCCAGGCTACAGCATGCAGTCAGAGAGAAGATTGATACCTGGGGTGTTGGTCTTCCCACGAGAGAAGAGGCTAATCTGTTAAACCTTTCAGTCCTGTGACGCTGCGTTTGTCCAACATGTCAGCTCGCTGGTCTCTCTAATCTTATGTGACTGACAGGTAGAAGGCAACATTGTGACACTTACAAAAAAAATGCAGCTTGTGTAGCACTGAAAAACATTGGCTGCTGGCAGCTGGGTCTTTAAGCTTCTGGAGAGGCAGAAATGTTTGAAAAGAAAAAAAAGGATTCCAGGAATCTGTATCTTCCCTTTGATGACTTATAGGGGTGAATTAGAAAGGAATCCAGTGAGAAATGGAGGTTGGAAGAGGAAAGGTTTACCTTTTATCAGAGCCCATGGCACTAACATTGCAAGGACTTGTGGTTTCATTTTTATTTACCACTGACACTAAAACATTAATGGCACTGTAAAACCACCTTGACAAAAGTTATCCATAAAGTGACTTATATAATTTTATTTAAAGGTTTAACAAGAATACAGATATCACCTACAGCTAACATAGATATTTAAGATGGATGTATATAGTCCATTTTTCAGCTCAACTTGACACAAGGCACAGGCGATTAATTAATTAAACACGTATTGACATTTATACACTGAATAATAGATGTAACACCGTAAACATCCAGAAGATTTATTGACTGCGAAAGTCCATGCAATACTCTCAAAATCCATGTCACTTTGGCATAGACTTTAAAATAAGATGCCAGTGGTTTGACATGGCTGCACCACAGGCTACAAAAATACAGCTGATGTGCAGCTGTGCTCATGCCACAGATTTGACTCATTCTAATGAGGCTGCCTTCATAACCATTCAACATATCTTTGGTTTATTTGGAACCTACTGAGATAAACAGACACAAATGTGAAAGGAATATTTGTGGAGAAAACGACTGGACATATAGCGTCATATAAGTTTTTGTAAACTAGAGTAAATTGAATAGTTCTTTCTTGGAGCTGTATTTCTAGACAACAGAAGAAAGCTGTTGTTAGTTGAGCCTTGGCCGTGGCTAACAGCATGGACTGGAAGCCATTAACAGCTTGTGAATGTCGACGGTGCAACACTCCCCCAATTAGCGGAGCTCTGCAAGCTCAGCTTTTAGATAGAGAAGCCAAGCAATCCTTCAGAGACACATCAAAATGGTGTGAATAAAGCTATAAGTAGCAAATGAGAGCTCCCATTAAAAAACTTCACGAACAAAGTACTTAAATCGACCACCAACTTCCAGCTGGCAGGAATTCAAAGCGGTGTCCATTGTGTCAAGTTTCACACAAATAGATGTGACGCATGAACACATTCAGAAGTTGACAATAAAATCATCATGAACTAGAGGAAGAGCAAACAAGACTTTTGAATTTGGCTCAGTGAAGCCACAATCTTTGATTTGCTATAAAATAATTCTACATCTATGATGTAACATATTTAGATTAATGATGGATGTATGATTTTTAGCTAATAAACAGAAAAGAGCTGTTTGAGTAAACATAAGCTCTTCATTCATTGCCATTTTTGTGATAACACTTTAAATAAGACACTCAAAGACAGTGAGTGGAATAGCATTTAACAAAGCTTCGGAACAAACAGGATGCTGATTCGACACAACATGCTGCGATGACAGATGAACGTTGGCCACTGAGGCACTAGTCCAGGTCCTGTTGCAGGTATTTTCTTTGTGTCTAGGTGTCTGACAGTTACTTTCCAAAGGCATAAGCATGTGCAACACTGCTTGTTTCCTAAAAGCTGACACTGATGGGACAGGTACACAGTGAAAAGAATGTCCTGAATGCAAATGTGTAGTTAAGAATTAGACCTTTCGTATATAAGAAGTCTTGCAGTACTTAACAGAAGCGCATGAGGTTAGAGATTACTATCCTTATTTCTGAAGAGAAAAACATATATAAAGATTTTGAACTATCTATGACTAAATAAGAAGATCCTCTTGCATAATTCTGCACATTACAGGCTCAAATGAGCTCCTAATTCCCCTCAACCTTAGAAACAGCTTGCTATTGAAAATTTAGACTCAAGGTATTAAGGCTGCTGTCGGTAACTTATAAAAATAAGTCTTTGTCATATTTGCTGAAACTTTCATTATATCCTGACAGTAGTGCATGAGCCAGATAACTTGTGAAAAAAAACCTGGTTCCTCTGGCTCCTCTTAGTGCTCCTAATGGTATTTGCAAGAATCCACCACGTTTGAAGGAAAAAGAACCAATCAGAGCTGAGAAAGCTAGTTGATGGTTGAGTCTCAATCCCAGGTCGTCAAATACAGACACTTTGGATTGGTGGCTTGAAGATAGTTCATGGTTGAGTCTCATTCCCAGGTTGTGACAACCGCAGCTTTAAACTCAAACATGCACTGGAAGAGTATGTTCTTCAGCTGCCTTAATAAAAGCAGTTTCTTGTTTCTTGCAGTTTCTATCAATCATTTATGAAAAATAGCTGAGCCAGCAAACCAAGGCAGGCTGAAAGTAGGAATTAGAGACACAGTGGAGGTAATATGCTTGAACCAATGTTCCAAAATATGTGCAACTCTGAACATAACAATATACAGGCAGCAAGAGGATATTTTCCGAGACTGAAATGAACAACTGTGTTTTCAGAACTTAATGTTTTTTTATTCTTCAGATGACCTAAGACAGAGTCAAAGTGTGAAAGCTTGTAATGTACCTCTTACCACTGCCAAACTCCCCTGAACCCCCTGCCCCTCAAGAAATAACCTTGTTTCCAAGCTGTGATTACCTCATTTCCAGCTCTCTTTGTTCTCACACAGCACAACCACATGGTCTTATTTCTGGTGACTAAAATGACAGGTTGAACTAACTATGTTGAGATGAAAATTCTGAAATAGCATCTTGGGAGAGCTCTGGAAAACAATATATTCTCTTTTACATGGAGTTGCAAACCACTTCCTTGCACAACAGAGCTTTGAGTAAGCAACAACGTCTGTTGTGTGTGAATAAAGTGCTTTTTTCTCTCACTATACGCCACACACTGCAATTGAGGTTGGTGTAAAAACAGACCTCAATTTCATCATGCCAACGGTAAGCCTCCTGCAATGCTTTGCCAGTCATTACCCTCTGCTTTAACTAGGATTTTACTCCTTACTTCTTCTGCCCTATCTCCTTCTATTCAAGTCTGTAAAACTCTCTTCAATCCATTAAAATAAGCAAAGCTGGTAGAGAGATCATTATGCCTAGGTAGAAGTGGGGTTTAATTGTGGATTGGGACCTCACAGAGACAATGATGTATGTTTTGTTTTCTCCTTTAACCCACCACTCAACACCCCTCATGCTCCATTCAACAGACTCCTTCTCTTCGATGTTTTAACAACCTCTTTGCCTCGGCCCTTTCACTTTCCGAAAATCTCTTCCTGTGAATTACAGACTGGGTCTTATTTTTTTCCCCCTTCCATTCCATGCAAGTGGTGGGGAGGAATTATTGCTTGTTTAAATATAAACTAAAGTGCTGGCCCCTGCGTGGCACGAGGTTCCAGTAGCTGCTGGTTGACCACAGAGGAAACAGAGTGCTGCTGTTCTAGCGTGCTCCTCCTGTGTCAGAAGAAAGTTCAAAGGGAAGCCAGACTGAACGTGCAGAGGCCAAAGCTTCCTTTTCCCCCCTCATGGTTTCCGCACCTTCTAGAGTTGGAAAATGAAAGACAAACCCGGTCTCCTGTTCCGTAACATAGTTAGTGGCAGACATTTGAACACCGCAGTAGAATAGCTTCATTCTGCTGCAAAATAATTACATTTGAGTTTTAAATTCCAAAACATCCCCAGTTTGTGGAGTGTTTTACCTTCAAATTTAAATATTTCTGAAAGTGTAACATTTTTTTACACTAAAATATATGGTGTAAATTTTTTTTTGTGCTGATTACTTGTTCTTTGACCAGTTGTTTCTGATTTAGAACATATTATTGCCAGTTTCAGACTATTTAATTCAGTCAAACTTTTAATCTGCTCTTTAGACAAAAAAATATTTTGTTAATTTGGTTTTGTAGAAAAAACTGTTTAAATGTCTCAAAGTAGGGTATCAGAAAAGTATTATTGTTATTAATGTTAAAGGGGGGAGTTTTTCTGCATGGGTCTAAGGATAGAGGGTGTTGTATGTTGTACAAATTATTAAGCCTTTTGAGGCAATTTGTGGTTTGTGATCATTGTTTAAAATTTACTATAAACTGCTAACTGACATTTCCCTTTTGGAATCAACTCCTTGTAATAATGTCTTATTGGATTAATCTGTCTCCATAAGATAAAGCAAGGCCTTGCTTGTACATCAAACATCACAAACTACTGCAGTCTATTGATGGTGAATATGCTGTTCAATTTGAAAATTATCATGAAGATAAGATAAACATTTATAGATCCCTGTTGGGGAAATTCAAGTTTACACAGTGCAGAGGAATGTAGTACAAAGAAAAGAAAATACAATACAAAACAATGATAAAATTATACAGTAAAAAAAATAGAATAAACCTATGGGTATTTAGATGTGCAATGTTTCTGAGAGCATACTTTGTGTATTACTGGAGATTGACTGAGCAACCTTCTTTTCAATAACTTATCACAGGGAGCTCGTACATGTAATGATTGACTTTTCACTAATAACACATCTGTATTTTTAGAAATACAGCTTTGACGCCCAGTATGTGTTCAGCATGTCAGTGAATCCTATGTCAGTTAGTGCTGCTATCATCAATGTTGTTTTAGGTTTTAAGGCTGAAGGAAGAATGCAGTAAAGATGTGTATGAGGAATAAAAGAACAAAAAGCTTTTGAGGCAGAAAAGAAAGTTGCAGAGAGAATACAAAGCGCCATCAGTGACCTCAGTTGCCTATTTGTGCTTGTCAGATTTCACAGTGCTGCAGGCCATTAGGGATTAATGAGGAGTAGAGCTGTTTACTTAAAGCAAGTGAACAGAACTAAAACATGACAGGTTAAAACATGGCAGTCGTCTCTTCAGTTTATCTCTGGGCTTTTGTCAGCGAAGGGAGCAGGGGCGAAGGGATTCTGTGCGTGTGTGTGGTCTAAAGACCAGGACAGAGAAGAGTAAGTGAAAGAAAATGAGGAATGGGAAGACGATGGAGCAAGACAAAGATCGCTAGAAGTACCCAAGCTAGAAGTACCCAAGCACAGAAGTATTTTCTAACATATTTTACTGTCGTTCTGCAAGGACTGCTAAATGTAACTTAAGAAATAAGTTTTTCAATTGCAAAACAAATGTGTTGCATTACTTGTTGCAACAAAAAAGTAATCTTTAATGCGTTACTTTGTAGCGTGCTGATTTTGTTAAAATAATTGTATCTTTTCTTCTAAGGTAGTCTTGATCTCTGAATCACTGCCCACATTTTCATATTGTTCAGCAATTTAACTTGGTCTTATTCATAGATCCTTGTTTCCATTGGTCGTAAAAACAATTGACCAATCAGAACTTTGTAGGCAGGAATAAGAAGAGGATGCCTCTTTCCTATTTACTTTGCTCGTTAGTTAGCTTTATCAAATAAAACCTGCAGAATGACAGAATGACCACAGAAAGTATGGATGGGACTGATGCAGCAGTACAAATTGTTGTAAATTGTCATAAAAAATAATGACTTATATTACTCTTATTTCCATTAACTGTTTGAAACTGCTGTGAAGCTTCAGTGTCAACTTAAGATCAGCAAGATGGATATGTCAGTCATGACTAACCCCCTTCCTCCCAACAAGTTAAAACAAACTAATCTCTGACTGACAAATGAGAGTCCACGAGGCATGACATTACGTATGCTCTGACAAATATTGGTACTCTTGGCTTCACACACTGATATTTAACTGATATCTTTTTTATGTGTGATCATGTGTATGATCACACGTGTGACATAAACCTCAAGGCTGCAGTTGCTGGTTGTTGCTGATGTACTGAATGAGTTAAACCTTATGCTATGTACACACTTCAATTTCATTGGGTAAGTTGCTGCCAAAAGTCTAAAAGGTGTATGGAAACAAAGATTAGCAAGGGATAGAAGTAGTGACTATAGTTTATGTTACAGGCAAAGACAAGGGAAAGGGAGAAATAACAGGAAAGAGCTGGTTGTTGCCAGAAATATATTTCAGTCCTAAATAGAGTAAGAGTAAAATAACACAGGTTTCTGTGTGAAGTGGGGTATTGTAAAAACACATAAAAGGGGATATTACTTTTGAACTACTGTACGTGATGATAAAAAGCGAACTGAAAATGAAACAGACAGACAGCAGCGTGACAATTTTCCACACAAAAAGCACTTCTATCTCTTAATTCCTACTTTCATTTCAGGGGCTTGAATGAATCCCCCCGAGGGTCAGAGGACCTCTTTGTGAATGTGAAACCACTTATTTTCTCCATCTCACTCTCAAGCAGCACCATCACTGACACTGAGACACCTCGTCTGTCATCTGACTGGATCTATAGATACAGTACAGGTTCAGAGGGTAGAACAGCAATATGGAACACAACAGTTTGATTATTTATAAATGGGAACAATACCATCTCCAGAAAATGAGAACATTTTTAAGTGGATATCTTTGATCTGTTGTGTATTGTCTTACGTTTTAGAACTATTATAGGGTCCATTACAACCAATTGCCATTTTAATCATTGGCAACTTGTTTGTACTCACCAATTTCATTGCAGACACTGTGGACATATTGTTTTGTCTGCGTAGAAGTGTATGAGCTGCTCTGGCTTGTGTCTATCTTTATAACTACAATAGATAATAAAACAGGTGCCAGATGTTCCAAAGTGCTTAAACACAATTTCTCCCCAACGATGCTTAAAACTTACACATAAGCATAAATGGATGATTGCAAATTAAGACACCATGTTATGTAACAAGCAAACTATTTGGAGAGGCATTGCTTACTGCCATGTGAGAGAGGCAGAAACATGCTATGACAGCTAAGCACTCAAGTGCCTACAATGCACATTTTTAATCTCCAAAGCATGGATGACGTTTGCTACGTACCACAGGAACGAGGGAGTAGCGGATGCAGAATCCCGGCTCCAAAGGGAAGTACTCATCAGAGATGAAGCGGATCCTGATCTGACTGCCTTTAGAAGTGTGACTAGCTGGTACCGACTGTGACCCACACCAACGACCAAGGACTGTTTTCTCAGTTGGATCCTCTATTTCCACAAAGTCGTACCTGGTAGATTGAGACAGAGAAAGAAAGAAGAAATTGATTATTTTAGTCTCTGAGACATTGCCAGTTATTGATTGTTCCATTATCATGAAATTGTCTTTGTCCAAGTTATAACAACTACTTCAAACTACAACTGGCTATGTTTGAGCTTTCATATGGTAGATTTAGGCCTCTACATATGCATGTCCGTTGACTTCAGCTTGTCAGCACCTTTAACATTGTGCCATGTTGTCCCCTCAGCTCTATCTCACCCATCTGAAGGTGAGCTTGGTAATATCAATAAAACTGCCTGGGGAAATAAAAGTTTAACCTCATAAAAAAAGAAAAAAAGAAAATAAATATCTTTAACAGCAGGTTGCAATATCTCAGTGGCGACAGATGAGATCTTACTGTTATTTACAGCCTGAATTAATGACTTGTATATTGCCAGTGTACTGAGGACAAATCTCAGGTTGGTTGACAGTGCAGCATAAGCAGCTGTTCTTACTATTTAGCGGTTATGGTTGCTGATGCAGCCTTTTGACAGGCCTATTACACTCCAGCTCCATGTTGTCATTGACATATAGTTTTTAATTAAAACTTGAGCTTGTTATATTGTACTGATTTGAATGTTGACTGCGGGAAAGCCTCAGGCCTCTTTACTCGGACTCGAAAACAAATTCTCAGTTGTTTGAAAACTCCCTTTGTTAATCATTAAATTTACATGATTGCTGTTTTATGCTGGGGAGACTACTAGGTCTGGATATCAGTGTGAACAAAAAATTAATATGAATAGCTCTAAGAGGGTATTTTTCAAAATAATTTGGCAATAACGTGCTTTTATCTCTTAATCTTTATTATATTGAGTATTCAGAATAGTTTTTCCACTTTCACTGTCACCAACTCCTCTTCAATACCCACAGAAATAACTGAGGTAAATGGACTGAAACCAGGTTTAAATGACACAGTATATTCCTGGCTATAAACCTAACAATCACTGAAAACTGCAGAAGCGATTGGTGTCTGAAAATCAAAGATTGTATCTGAAAAAAGTCCATGCATTCCTGAAATATTATTTAGTTTTAGCAGGATGGATTTAACAAGTTTCAAGGATTTCACAAATTTCACTAAACAAAACGATGATACATTTCAACTGAGAAAAATATAAATAAAAGCACCATTTTGTTTGTTGTGGGGATCGAACTTTGCGACCCTGTAATTACATGACAGTGTTTCTCCCCTGGCCACCCTGCCAACCCATAATACCAGTAAACATTATGAAGTGCAGAAGCAAATGGCCATGCTCCAGACTCCTTTGGTGTGCCAAGGCTAACATCGACCAACCTCAGCACTTAAGACACGCGGTTCAGGAGTTCAGTCTTTATTATTTATACCTGTGTGTGAAACCAGTGGCTGCAGTGCATTCAATACAGCCTTGTTTCACTGACTCTTCACAGTCTGGGATTAATCACTTTGCCATTTGCGTCAACAGGCACGCTAACCTCTCATTCAGTGCTGCCAATTCGGATATTTGGATTTCAAGGACATTGTTTACATTTTGCACCGGCTTGACAGATTCAGTTCAAGCTGGTTTCAATAAAACAACACGGAGGGACATGAGCAAGACTAAAAATGGATTTTCTGTGAAGTTAAATAAACTGAAGGGGAGGGGGGTCGATACATTTACTGACTCTGCTGCCTTTGATTTGGAAAGTTATACAGGAAGTTTGTAATCTGCACAAACAAACATATTGGCAAAGGTAAAACTGAAGCTGTTCTTTGAAATACCATTCACAGTTTAAATGTACAAATGTTAGGCAACTGCATGAGCTATAAAACATTCATTCATATAAGTGCAAACCAGACTGGCATGAAATGGTTTTGGAAGAGTATGAAATATCAGTTTAGATTCTCTCTGCCTTCTCGATGGAGGTCAGTGAGGAGAAGAGCTTTCCTCTCTAAAAATCAGCCCTCAGACAGCTCCAGAGCTTTGACAGATGGCTCATCAATAATGCAGGATGCCCTGATCATTACACATCGCCATGTGTTCAGAATCACCATGTCGAACAGCAGTTTTTCAGATTTACAAATGCACTAACATACATACCAAACTGTACCTACAGTCACAGTGAACAGGACGAGAACGACAAAGGCATCTTATATACCGTGCTACCAGAGAGGAAATTCTTCCTGCACACTGCAAAAAAACTGTTTAATATTCACAAAGCTTTCTCCTAAGTAGTTTTTTCCTTGTACATTATTAATAGATACAATATCTACCACTGAGATGATGCAGATTAGCAACATGAACATATTTTTAATCTGCTCCTTTCAGACTAAAGACAGAGAGCATAAATGCCTTTCAGAGAACAGTCCTGTCTGTGAGCCGCCAAGCACGACTCTGCTGCCATGCCAACCAGCAGCAAGACCAATCCCTCTCCAATATGCCTCTCCTCCAGTGGATTTGGTAAGAATGCTTTTCATCGCGCCACAGACAAACAGAATAGCAGATGAGCATCTCGACTACACAGCCTCCCTCTCATCTTAGCAAAGACTTCTCGCTCCAGGCTCGGTACCAGAGCCAAACACTCTCTCTCACTGTTGTTTGTTTTATCCCCCTGCCATTCCTGTGAATCACTGGACAGGAGATTACATTTTTGTTTATTTGCATCACATTGTGCAGTGACACAAGTATAAGAGCAGCCTATCAATACTATTGTGTACAAATGTTTTTTTGCTGTAACACCCATGGAGTAAAGGTCTAAGGGCAGATTTTGTGAATACATTTGTAAACACACACCAGAGATAAAGTAGATAATGCAGACTAGGCCAGAGGCTTGTTAATGTATGTGTGTGTATGTTGGACAGAGTCTGTGCATCTGTTTAAGAGAAAAAAGAGAGAGGGTGAGAGAAAAGTAGATAGACTTGTGAATGTGTGTCTGTTTCTGCTTGTGATTGCATGCTGCATTCATCCGTCTGCCAACCCTGCCAAGAGCGTGTATCTTGGGATCTGATCAAAACCTGTTGGGTCCGGGTGACGTGGGAGGAGTGGAAGAGGGGGGCGAAGAGAATGAAAAATGTGAGCGCTGGGGCAGTAGACGTGGCGATGACTTGCATGACCCTAGAAAAGGATGTTGTTATTGTCTCTCGCCCCTCTCCCCAAGGACGCTGACTAGTGCAGTCTTGTAAAGGCAGGACGGCACAAAAGTTGTCAATCTGCACCCTGCCCCACTGTGGAACTAACAGGGTTTCAACAGCAACACTAACCTCATTCGTCAACGTGAACCCTGCCCACCATGGAGGTGTGCTGGCTCAAATTACCTGCACTCACATACTGTTTTTTCAGCTTTTTTTTCTGATAAGCAACAACCAACAAAGGCAGGATACATGAAATATTATGTGGAGGCATGAATCCTGGATGGCAGAACATTAGACAATTAAATCAGCTGCAAACCCTCCAGACCCTGGAAGAAAATCTGAGTCAGAATCTCAAACACCTCATTGATCAATGAAGTTGAATGCCCAGGAACTGTCAGTGGAACAGGAGCATACTGATTCATGGTCACATATTCTTTTAATTTCCTGATATGTGCAGTGATTCTTTCAAAAGATACATGTTCATCTATTGCTGCCCTGTCCAACATCTAAACTTTGTGTAGAGAACTGTCATTCACCTTGTTATCCATTAGGGGGCTCTCCAGGAATGACTAGCGAGGTCACCCTCCCCCAGCTCTTCTCCTCCTTCCACTGATTGGGCTTCTCCATGCTAACCAGTCACTTGTGATATATTGACAGGGCACTGAGCATAATGCACAGAGGGTAAATCGATCGTAACTGGGGCTCGGGATCCCCGTTTAAATTGAATGACAACAGAGGCAAACCCTGGCAGTAATTGAAAGTGGGCTTCTCAATAAGGCAGAGGATGTACAGTGTGTGTATGTGTGTGTGTTTGTGTTTATGTGTGGCCAGTCAGAGGGTGAGGCGCGTGTCTTTCGAACAATCACATGAGCAGCTAAAAATATCGACTACATCAAGTATAATATGCTGGACTGGACCACGTCATCATGGGGTCTTGGGCGAAACAAATCACTCTGCTGCTGGGTTTTCAATATTCACGAGCTGCCACGGCAGACCAAAGGCAATTTCACAAATGGCCACACACTCTGACTATAAACCTTTAAAGCTGGACTACTAACACAGGCAGGACACGTCTTTACCCCAGACCAACACATATGTGGCATGCCAACATGGGGAAGCCCCCAATTGATGAGACCTGGTCAAGGAAGCAGGGAACAAAAACTATGCACTTCTACAGCTAACTTCTGAAAGAGGTTATTGTAATGGGTAACATTTTCATTTAGACAATAAAGGCCACTTTGTCTCATCTTTCAAAATGACATTAATAAACAATTTAAAGAGTACATTGTTTTTTTGGGGGGAGGTTGGCACATTTATCAGATCAGTGAGGAAGAAAATAATCAATGTGTCCAAATAATGTGTGTATACAAATAATCCAATATCTATCGTGCATGCAAACCTTTTAGCACGTGTTACACTGGCCCGGAAAACCAGCCTAGTTGTAGGATAGGGAACAGAGAAAGGACAGGAACATCTTACATTGTAATACATTATCATACTCTTTGTTACATAATTAGCTTTATTTTGTCCCATTGCCGGATCCAAGTCTACTGCTTTGAATCACAATGTTAGCATAAAGCAACACTTACAAGATGACCAGCAGGCCATTGCACCTCCAAATTATTATTATTGTATGTTCTTACTTGCATATGCCATCTTCGGGGTCTTCCAGACCAAACCTCTCATCAAAGGTGAGCTGGATCCTCATGTTACTGGTTGCCACTAGTCTCCAGACCAAGACAGTACTCCTGGGATAAGTGTGTGGAAAGTCTGGGCTGTGAACCATTCCCTCTCCAGACACTGTTATGATCTTCTCCTGATGGGAATCTTGCACTCCTGTAACAGAAAATAGATTAGAATAGATTTTGTGTTTTGCATAGACTGTAGCAGTTTGGTTGGTTCAGGTTAAAAAAGTAAATCATGGGGGGAAACCCATATGCATTATTTCACTGACAAGGGCTTGGTTTTGAGAAGACACTGATCTTATGATTTGAAACATAAACATGTCAAGCAGCATACGAAGAGGATGAGACTTATAAGATGGAGCACCAGATTGATGCTTCTTTTATGTTTTATTCACCCTTAGATAGTCTTGTCTGAAATATCTGGCTCCAAATCAAACCAATGCATTAGACAAATCATACAGGTAAAGTGGCCAGTTTAATTGTTCCATTGGGGTTTATCTTTAACCTTACGGTCTGTAACTGACCTTTATACATTTATCACATACCAAAACACATGCAGGAAAAATATATCTGTATCTGGCAATTAGATAAAGCTTCAGTTTCGAAAGGAATAATTTAAGGAAAATATATTCATCATTATTGATGTTATTTTGAGTTTTATTGATTGCAATATGGAAATCGCTGAGGAGGCAAACACAGTCTTACACCTCCCTGTAGCCCATGAAAAGAGGCCTGGACCTGCAGCTGAGTCACACTCTGTGCTCTAATAAACAGAGGAGGTTGAAGGGTAAATATGGTGGCAGGACTGAAAGGAACAGTGTGACAGCAAAAAATCAAAGCTAAAAAATGCCCCAAAAAACTGTTGACAGCTGACAGATTGAGCTGACAGCATGGGAAGTCCACAATCATTAACTTATTGTCTTATTATTGGTATATTATATACATATCTTGTCTTTAATTGCGCTTTTACATTATAACTCAACAAATCTAAAACATTAGCTGAGTGCAGAGTACCTCGAAGGGAAACTGATGGGTTCTACCAAGCTCCTCTCATAAAGCCATTAAGGCCCACTGGGACTACTGGCTGCAGATTTATTTACAGTGACCAAGCTCGTCACTCAGTCCCCCAGGGCTCCATCAAGCCCTGTCAACTTCAGGAGAAGAATTGCCTGGATACCTCCACCTGAGCCTCACAACCATTGCAATGACAACAGCCCAAAACCATGTTGATTACCATGCTGAGGACTGTTTTCAATTCACCAGGTCAAAATAGTAGATCACATCTAAGTGCAAAAGAAGACAGATATTACCATTTTCACTTTTAGGCAATCAAAAACAATACAATGTATTAATGTATAATTTCATCACCTTCAATATGTTAGCTTACTGCTCATTTTGTAAACTACAGTATCTATTTTTTTTCAACATGTGAAATGCACATACAAGATGTTTAAGGCAGATTTAGCACTTTTGGTGAAGCGAAGCTCCCCTGCATCCAATCTTTGTGCTAACTAGGCTAAACCTTTATTGTTTTCAGAAGTAAAATTGTCTTCAGAAATGTATATTTAAGTGAAAAAAGGCAACTAGAAAGCCAAAAGTATGCATAGTAGAGAAGAAGAAAAACTGGGCATTCTTGTACCCCACAAGCCAATCATAAGAGTGGGCACTCAGTGGGCAATCAAAGCATTGTGCTCTACAGAAATGCCCCGCCGTGGCTGTATCTACACTAGCTTCCACATATAACACTTGTCAACACCCACGTTTGTTTCACATTGCAAACATTGTCATTGTTGATTACTTTTTTTCTCAGAGATTATCGTGATAAATTTATCCCATCCCCAGCCTATCCTCAATTTGTTTAAGCAGTATTTATTTCTATACCACTGATGATGATCATTCAGTATTCATAAACCAATCCAATACGTCTAGCCGTCAGAGGAACCAGCAGGGGTTTAATGTGCTCAGGAGAAGGAGTGTACTGCTGGAAGTTTGTCAGTGCATTAAACGGATGAGTAACCATTTCCCCAGTGCAACTTATACAGACAAATTATTATTTGAAACACATTTTGAGCTTGATTACTCTTTATTTTGCCATAAATTTGATTTAAGGATGTGATTCATACCCAGCAGGGTGATTCATTCTGAGGTTCTTTGCTTGCAATAGAAACAAAAACACAGGCAAGTTAAGTTTGTGCCATATGCTCACCCTGTATAATGTCAAATAACAGTTCCACAGAAACTTGTAGTTCCTTAGGGTGGTTCCAAGGAAAACAAATCTGCCTGAAGGAGTGGTCAGTGAAAATAAGTGAGAGTGAAGTGAAACCAACTTCTGCAGGGTACTGTCTGTTTTTCACAATTTTCTGATCAAGTCAGTAACAATTCAAAGACAAATGACAATCCCCCCCTCTGTTGCTACGCCTGTCAAGTTCCATTCTCACAGGGCACAGATGTTTACAATGATATTGGTGGCAGATTCACCACTTGAAATTCTTGAAACAAAATGTGTCCTTGATTTCAGACAGGGTAGACAAAAAGCATGCTGAAATTGTCAACCGTCAATGGCAGATTTGATCAGCTAGCTAGCCAGTCTACCTAACATTAGCTTCATGAGCTCTTTAATATTTCAAGCGTACTCATTTTAAAACGAGAACCCTGGAAAAGGGGTCTTGCGCTTGATGGCTACATACTGTACATGATATTGTGCTAAAAGGCAAACACACAAATACACAACAATACAAACAGAATTGTTTTTGCATTGTAGTATCGAGCAAGTCAGTCCTTATTAAAGGTACAATAGGAAAAATGAAAAATCAGAGTCATGTTTCATTCTAACATTACTCTACTGAGTTAGTAGAGGTTAGAGCTATGCTTTATTCATTTTCAAACAGAAAAGTGACACAACCCTCTAAACTCTTCTACAGCCCCATGAATACCACTTCAACATGTTGAGAAATCCAAAGATTGACAGGCCTGCTGTGCCTAGTTTCGGTTGCTAAGCGGTGATTGGGCAATTGCTGTTCAGTGGTGTTTAGACGAATACACATTATTTTTCAAAGTAGTCTGATTTATTTAATATTTGTTTAAATTTGCCTTTCAGGATACAGTACAAACATATATAGCTTTGTTTTATGTTGTTGATAGAAAGGCACCCAACCCCTCTCTGATCCAATATAAAAGATCTTCTTTTATCAAGATGTAACTTGATGACATGACATGTGGACTTTGTCTCCTGGCATCCCGACTGATGCTGTCTATCAAACTGAATAAGTACATAAAACAACAATGACACTTTCTTTTAAAAACAATTACTTCAGATTGCAGATATCACTTTGATGTTTTCATTTGGGTTTGGTGGTAAGCCAGGCGGGAACAGATTGAATGACAGAGTGCCAGATGCAAAGAAAAGCAAAGCCCAGGCGTGACTTCTCAATGAACAGGCTCTTTCATAATTGTGTAAAGAGATTGACCTCAAGTACAAACTATCTCACCAAATAAGGGCCACTTTCTTCGGGCAGATCAAATCTTTTGCAAAAAAACACATGCACTCCTCGTGGACAAAAAGAGAACATTTTATATACCACTGAATTAAAAAAAAACCTTAAAGCCATATTTTGTTATTCAGGACTACTCTTTCTTTATGTGGTTAATAACAGCATGATGATATTCAAATACATCTACCTAACTTTTTATCCCTGCAGTCAATATTTCTTTGATTTCTTTGCATGAACTACCGAAAACAATGGCGGATCATTCTTTTAATCTTTGCTGCAAGTAGCAGCAACACACAAGGTTTGATTGACTGTTTTTATATCCATTTGCTGGCTCAGGAGGAAACAAGCCGGTAGCTTTCATGCTATTAAAGCTTGGCACTCCATCACAATGACATGTTTTTAATTACATCCCTATTACTGTGGGCTCCAACATACAGGCTCATAAAGTACATAATGCATAATGTGGAAAAAAAAACGGGATTATTTAATATATGAGTCCAGATGTACTGCACTGCATGTGTGATAGTAGTTGTACAGTACATATGTTATTAATAGAAGTGGCTAAAAGACAACAAAAATCTACTTCTATAATTAGAAATAGATGTCTACTTATTAGGGCTCTCCCTGTGCATAATGCCTTGGTAGAATCTGTTAAATGATGACTGGAATATCTCTTTATTAAGACTGCAATTAATGGGAAAATGTGAAAGGAACATCTGAGCTTGCTGTAGAGAAAAGGGGAAAAAGAAGGGTAAAAAAAAAGAAGGCCTTGACGTGAAAGCATTAGGTCCTGATGAAAAGGTATTCCAGAGATCTCCATGGATGAAATCATACTTAATCCAAATAGTCTGCAAATATCCTTCTTAATCCTTAGACACTCATCACAAGTAATTGCAGTAGGTGGGGGAACAATGTGTTTGCATTCCTCTTTGGTTCAGGTCTTTGTGCACGAAGATCAAGAATGAAGCATCCAAGTGATTCTTCGCTGTGGATCTTTTGTTCACTTGCATCAAAGCAGAAACTCCTTAAGAGTGTTCTCCTTCAGAGTGGATCAGCTGACAACCAATATTTGATTAAAGGAAGATACACAAGGTCACAAACCAGACTCCTTCCTTTTTTCCTGAAGCTTTTCTTTATCTTTTTTTTTAAAATAAACAATACAGTCTTTTCATGCTTCTCTCTTTTCAACCTTCCCATTGATGTCCTCCCTCTCCAATTTACCCTCTGTGCACTGTAAAATGCAGAGACACGCTACCAGTAGGGCTGGATTCTGGGTGTAACTTTGACTTGAAAATGACCTCACTCTTGGGGTTAACCAATGTCATCTAATGATCAGAGAAGCGGTCCCCCAGAGTGAATTACCTCAAACATGACTTTTCTTTGACCTACTTTTTTTTCCTCTGTGGGGAAAGTAGAGCCTACTATTAAGGGAGGAAGTGACTCTGAATAAATAGGAGCCTATACAGTGCAGCCATTGTGCTTTGTTCACACGTTAGTGGGTGAACCATTCATGCTGTTAAACATTAACCTTTCCCCTGCCAAAACAAAAGTGCTGCACACATGCAGAGAACCATGGACATGTGTACATTGTAACATTAGTGCACATGAGCATTGGACAACTATTACTACTACTACTAGTGATGATAATAACTAAAAATCA